GTTTTTCGGCCTGACAATTATAGGAGGAATACCTTTCAATGCATTGGCATACGATACACCCACACCACTTTGTGCTTTCTCTTGGCTTATAGTTGTCACTTTCTTCACCTCGCTAATTATTTCTTGTTTTTGTTTGCATAGCTCACTAGTGGATGAATCTACCCTATCCATTTTCTCTTTGTTTACTTTACACAGCCCCTCAACTCTTTTTATTGCATCAAGTTTTTCTTGGTTTGCCTTCTTTATACTATCAACTAACATTTTTACCTCTTTGCTGTGATTTTTTAACATTTTTTCAATATCTGTCTTTTGTTCTATTATATTCATCTTGTTGGCCTCAGCTATACCTATCATTTCTCTAAGAGCTTCATCCACATTGGCTATGTACATCATGCAGTTGTCGCACATGAAGCGTAGGAGGGGACAGTTTTCTAGTGCCTTTAGGCTGTAATCGTCAGCCGACGCACATGCTTGCGTTCTATGGTACACTTTCCCACACACACCTTGGCAACGCACACCCGACTCTCCTCTGACGCCTTTTCGGCATTTCGCGCATTCCGACATCTTCGCACTCACTCAGCAGCCGCTATGTTTGGATTAATATGCATACGTATGTATGTACATCAACTTAAATGCGCGCTATTATTTGTCAATTTTGCTTTTTTGATCTTTATTTTTATTTCGACTTATTGGTTGGCTTATTAGTTTAAATCGTTATTTTTCACACTATTAATCCAATAATGCAACTATTAACTTAACACTTTGCAATATTGTTATATTTTTTAACACCATAACCAGAGCGATAAAAAACACGTCCGTTCGCGATCGATACAAGGTATTATAGAAGTCCTTAACATATAACTTTTTCAAAAACAAGTATTGCGAAATTTCAAGGATACAATTTTAAAAGGACATTTTCAATACTTATTCCCCAAAAAATTGAATCTGATTACCAATACTTCTTCCAATGCTTCTTCTTTAACGGCCATTTTATTGACACTCCGAAAATGTCGGTTTAAGGTGGAATATCAATATTTACGGAATAGAGGAGAATTAGTCGGAATAAGACTAATATTGACGCAGGGAATAAAACGGAATAAGGCATAATAAGAAAGTCAGAATAGTTACTCCGGGGAATAACTAATCTGCCTGAATCGGGTGAATAAGGGAGTTATTCCATGTTATTCATTAAAAGTTCATTATTAAGATTTATAATTGCTTTAACAATACATACGGGTAAGAAATCGAAACTCTGTTTCCGGGGCTTCCGGAATAATTTCAACATTCGCATTCGCACTAATAATTGCGGAGCTTGTACCGCAATAAAAAAAGAAAATATAAAGCTGAAAGTCCACTTAACTGTTGAGGCGTCAATCGAAACGAATTTAATATTGCCTCCACCTGCAAGTGTTTCAGGCTTGAACCTGAAAAGGCAGCAACTTTGCGTTTTATTAAATGCAATGCCTAATTTTTGAATTTAAGTACTAAATAAAACAAACATTATTACAAATTTCTAACGTTTCCATATTTTCATTTACCTAAATTGTCTAAATTATATCTTGAAAACATCCCTCATATGAGGCATTCCAGCCTATTTAGGACACCTTTTTCGATATTTCTCATAAATTTTTATGTTGTACTACCATTCCAGAGAGGCCTCTCTGATTTTTACAAGATTTTTCTCTAGACTACTCTAGATATAGATTTTTGAGAAAATTCCTGTATTTTTAAATACTCATAACTTTGCGAGAAATGGGCGGATTGAAAATTTTTAGTTTGCCTTTTTCTAAATCCTTTGGAATATAAAACAAAAAATAAAAACGAATTGTAAAAAATTTGTTATACAACACGTTGATTTCTTTAAAACAATTTGACAATCGCTACGCTAAATTTTCATCGCTAGAGCTCTCTAAATGAAAAGTAGTGGGGCCTAAAAGTAAACAATATGGAAAATTAAAAAATGCAATTTGCAATGAGACAAATGTTACTATAGTCCGCAACAAATTTTGTCCAATTCAACTCATACCGTGTCAAATCAAATGCATTAAACAAACTGGTAAAGATACCACGTTGTAGAGGGAGAAATTCTCTACATATTTGTAGAGATAATTACTACGCTACGACTAATCCCTTTCGAGTAATCAATCGTTATCGCCTTCCTTTAAGAATGAGTAACATTATTTCCTGCTCATACATATGTACATATTTCATAAAAAAAAAAAATAATTATTGAATTTACCAATGGATTACGTGAAAGTGATAAGCCGCGGCGCAATACTTCAAACTGCAATTATGTAGAGAATTTATTCCTCTATACTTGTTGAATAATGCATTTGATTTGACGCAGGCAGAGTTCTTGTCGTTGAATTGGACGAGGTTTGATAGATTCTCATTAATTTAAAAATTCGAAAGAAATAATTAAAAAATTTTTTAATATTTTGACGAAAAGTGGAAAAACAATTCGAATAAATACTTATTCCTCTGCCGGAAAGTTATTCGTCGTTATTCCGTTGTGAATAATTGACAAAAAAATTATTCCGCTGTCGCTCAGAATTGTCCAGAATTACTAATGCCGGGAATAAGGAGTAAAGACAAGTCAATAATATGGCCGTAAACACATTTCACTAAATTTTTTAAATCATTTTAAATTACTGACGTCAGAGTGAAACATTAAAAACGCAATTTTACCATAAACTTTTATATTAAAGGTCATATTAATATGGCGGTAAGACAGAAATATGCGCATTAAAAATTCATGTACATATATGATAGAAATCTTGGAAAATTGTCTTATCTCGAGAGAAGTGATTTTGACAAATGTCCACAGAATTTATTACAGCAAGTGTTTTCACTACATGTGTGGGGTTTTTGTTTCTTAATTTCGGAGGCACTACTTTAATACAAGTGAATCTCTGCCATGGAAATGCCCATGTATGTACATATGTATGTTAAATTTATTTTATATGGGAGAAAATGAGCAACAACGCCAACAAAACAAATTCCCCAAAAGCTACGAGATGTTTGAGCTATTTCAAACTTGCACAATATACTAAAATTGAATGGGCTATAAACTTTTTTGTAGAAATTCCGATTAATAAGTTTCAAATTTTGATGTGCACTTTTGAACTTTGTCGAATTGTTATAAATCTAGTACAAAGTTTAAAACTTGTAAGTTAGGTCCTATAAATATGACCAATACTGTATCTAAAAAAATAAGCTAATTAAAAATATAGGTTTGTAAAATGTTTTTATATTTCTTTATATTAATTATATTTTTGTGAAAACTATACAAGGCATATACATATAATATATTATTATCAAATTAAAGGGAATTAAGTGTGCTATCAATTGAAAACAAATAAAAATGTATTCGTGGGTTGTTGTTTCCACAAAAATTACATCGTTATGCTCAGCTTAATGACCTCTATCGATCTCCATATTTATACCCGAGCGCACTTGTGCACAAGGGTATATTAATTTTGTTCACATAACGGTTGTTTGTAACAGCCAAAACGAATCGAGATAGATATAGACAAATGTATACATAAATGATCAGAATGAAAAAAGAAATCGATTAAGCCATGTCTGTCTGTCCGTCCGTCTGTCCGTCTGTCCGTCCGTCCGTGTACACGATAACTCATGCAAAAATTGAGATATCGGGCGAAATCGGACAATAACCACGCCCACTTCCCATATAACGGTAATTTCCAGAAATACGAAAACTGCGATATTTTAGTAACTACTGAAGATAATTCACTCAAAACTGATATTTACAATAATTTTTAGACAAAAAATAAGAATATTATAAATTTTTGGAAAATGGGCGTAGCCACGCCCACTTATGGTTACATGTGTATATCTTGGTAACCGCTGCACCAATTTCTTCCAAACTTGGCACAGTTGTTGGTCTTCGCACAACATACCAAATGGCCGAAAATTTTTAAAATCGCTTAATAACCACGCCCACCTCCCATATAACGGTAATTTAGAGAAATACATAATCTTCGATAAATCAGTAAATATTGAAGCTAATTTATTCAAAATTGATGCTTGCAACAATTCTTTACCAAGAAATACGTTTATGCTAAAATTTTGGAAAATGGGCGTGGCACCGCCCACTTATGATCACATATAAGTATATCGGTAACCGTTCTACCAATTTGTACCAAACTCGGTGTGGTTATTGTGCTTGCCACATATAAGCAAAACGTTGAAAATTATTGAAATCGGACTAAAATTACGGCCGCTTTTCATATAACGGTAAATTTCAGATATGCTTGAAACTGCAATATTTCGAAATTTAAGGACGCTAATTTACTCAAAATTGATACACCCGGCTTACCATCTAGCGGAAGGTTTCGGAAAGGTGAAAAAACATATATTTAATACTTGCGTCGGGTATTTAATGTTCGGCTCCGCCCGAACTTAGACTTTCTTACTTGTTTTTGTTTTTTTTTTGTTTTGTAGAGTTGGAGCTATTCTGCATTTGTTCAAAAATGTATGTATTATATCGTCGGTCCCTACGAAGAGTAGCACATTTCACTATTCGCGTGGAAGACTAGCACATTTCACTATTAGCGTGGAAGACTAGCACATTTCATTATTCGCGTCGAAAAGTAGCACATTTCA